TCATGCTGGAGCCGGGTGGGGCCTGAATCCAAGGACTGGGGTCCGTTACAGAAGAGGGGAGACAGACGCACACACACACAGAGAAGACAGAGGCAGGGACGGAGGACGCTGCGCCCACAGGTCTATGCACGAGAGGCGGCCGCCGCCAGAGCTGGAGAGGGCACATTCTCCCTCCGAGCCTCGGGGAGGAGCCCACACCTGAATCCGGGCGTCTGGCCTCCTGAACCGTGAGAAAACACCACCCCGGCCCAGGAAGCCCTCTGTGAGCTGGTTCCGTCGGAATCCCTCCGATCACATCACCACCCCCACCCCCACCCCCAGCCATACCTTCCAGGCTTCCAGGACCCTCGGGGAGCCCGGGGCCTCTCCACTGACCACGGGCCAGAGACAGATGAGTCTAAGCCGGCATCAGCCCCTCGAGGCACCAGGCGCCTTCACACTCGTTCTCCGTGAAACCTCAGGGCCGGGTGAGCGAGCAGGAGCTCCGAGAGGGTCCGCGACCTGCTGGTTCCCGCGACGGGACCCCCGCTCCGAGCCCGTGCTGTCTGCGTGGGCTCCGCCCCGCCGCGAGGTCCATCCTCTTGCAAACCCGGGCGCAGCACCTGCCCTGGCAGAGCCGTCTCCCACGCGCCTCGCAGCTGTGAACTCCGGGACCCGGGCAGTTGGCATCTGCTCTTTGAAAAGGTATTTATCTTTCCACTCGCCCAGAGCAGGCGAGCGCCATAAAAGGACAAGCCCCGTGTCAGGTGCACAGCGCTCCATAGCGACACTCCGCCACCGCCCGAGTCCGTAACTGCCAGGAACACCCTCCCCGTGAGCGAGAGCAGCGGCGTGCACGCAGGTGGCCTCGGCCAGGCCCGCGGGTGCGGGCGCCTCTCCCAAAGCCGGGGGCCGCCGGAGGCTCTGCAAATGCACAGGCAACGGCGATCGGCCAAGACCCCCTGGAGGTTCCAAGATGAGCCTGAGATTTTTTTTTTAATCTTCACCCAAGGACTGAGGGTATTTTTTTCATTTATTTTTTGAGAGAGTGGAAGGGAGGGAGGGAGAGAGGGAGAGAGGGGGAGGAACATCAGTGAGACACACATGGATTGTTCCCTCCTGCACGCGCCCTGACTGGGGGTGGAGATGGAACCTGCAACCCAGATACGTGTCCTTGACCAGGAATCGAACCAAAGACCCTCCAGTGTACAGGCCGATGCTCTAACCAATGAGCAGCACTGGCCAGTGAGGGCCTGAGAGTTTTTTTCTTGCCATTTTTAAGTGTACAATTCAGTGGCATGAAGGGTATTCTCAATGCTGTGTCACTATTTCCAGAACATTTTCTTTTTAAAAAAATATATTTTATTGATTTTTTACAGAGAGGAAGGGAGAGAGATAGAGAGTTAGAAACATGGATGAGAGAGAAACATCGATCAGCTGCCTCCTGCACACCACCCACCGGGGATGTGCCCACAACCAAGGTACATGCCCCTGACCGGAATCGAACCCGGGACCCCTCAGTCCACAGGCTGACGCTCTATCCACTGAGCCAAACCCGTCAGGGCTCCAGAACATTTCCATCATCCCAAACAGAAGCCCTGTACCCCACCGGGAACGGAAGAGAGAGTATTTCCATCAACTCCACGGGGTGACACGCGGGTGGTGGGAGGGGAGGCCCTTTCCACCTCCCTTGATAATACCGTTCGTGATAATGTACGGAAAGGACTCGAATACTTTTCCCTCCAAGCTCCTCATTCTCTGCCTTCGAATGGAGAAGCCAAAATACAGGGAAAAGTAGCAAGACAAAGAAGGAATGGAATGTTCCTGGACGATCTACTGAGGGCCCCGTGGATCAGAGTAACGCACGTGGGCACACACAGCACTCAAACCTCGCCATAGACGCAAAGACTGCCCGAGTCAACTGATCCAGAGAAGAGGTGGGGAGGAAATGAAGGCAGGCCCAGAGAGGTCAAGCAACCTGCCCAAGGTCACACAGCACAGCTTCAATCAGCATCTCTGTCTCTCTTACACTTACACACACACACGCACACACACACCCTGACTGAGGTCCTGGTCCCAAACCGAGAGCCCAGGCTGCCCGGGGACCCACTTCCCTCACCGGCAGGAAAAGCCTGGAGCCTGGTCGCCCGAGCCTGGTATCTCCATAGAGACAGAATCACAGAGGCCGTGCGGCTAAAAATAAAGCCTCTACCTCCCGAAACCCGTCTGTTCAGCTCCAGCTGTGCTCACGGGGACTCAGCGAAGGACTCGGTGGCCCAGACGGCAGAGAAAGCCCCGCCCCCACCCCCAAGCCGGGAGAAGGTGAAAACACGCCCAGGACACCACCTGTGCTCCGCAGGGGAGCTGGCGAAGATTGTCACCACAGGAGCCTGCACAATGGGCTCCTAGCGGGTAAGTACCAACCAGCGTGGGCGCCCTGGCCTCCGGGCTCGGATGTTCCTGCACACAGAGCTCCTGGCGAGGGGAGGCTGCTCCTCAGCCCGAGAGGAGGAACTGGCCCTTCTCCAGCTTTGCCCGGGGACAGGTTTCCACACGGACAGAAGTTTTACATAATGGGCTCTCGGAAGCCTAGACGCAGTGGTCAGCAAACCGCGGCTCGCGAGCCACATGCGGCTCTTCCACAAAATACCGACTTCTGCGCATGGGCCACGAAGTTTCAGTCGCACTGTATGTGTGCACCCGCACATGGTATTTTGTGGAAGAGCCACACTCAAGGGGCCAAAGAGCCGCAGGTGGCTCGCGAGCCACGGTTTGCCGACCATGGGCCTAGAGGACTCCCAATCCCACCCAGCGTCAGGTGATCTGTCTAAAACAGCAGTTGAGCCTCCAGCTCCAGAGCCAGACAGTCTGGGCTTGAAGCCACTGGGCGTCCCTTTTCTCCTCTGGGCCTCAGTTTATCCTCTGTGAAATGGGTCGCTGCAGAGGGCCGGGGAGGACCTGGCACAGAGTGAGGGCCCTGAAAGCTACTCATTCGGCCGCCTGGTGGGTGTGCTTTGGGTGGTGGCCTAGCCTGAGGCCCTAGAGGGGACGGCCACGCCACCGAAAACCACCAGCACTTTCCACACGCCGAACGCCCCTCGCTCTCAATCCCCATGACCTTCTGCAAATCTGCCCTCTGTCTCCGCTTATCTTCTGAGTAACCTACGACCGACTTACACTCCTGGTACATACATGTATGAACGGTATCACGGTTCACTTTGAACGGCCTTACATTTTGCAAATAAGGCATGAAGCATGCAACCCAGGATCCGCCACCCAGACCGAAGTTCGTAATCAGGCCCCTTCATTGGTGGATAGGAAGCGGCCCGACAGCCCCATGCGGCACTCGCCTCCCGGGAACGCGTCTCCCAGGCCGCTCCCGGAGCCACTTCACAGCGAACGGTAATTAGCCTAATGAAGGCAAGTGTGACTTAGCGAATCGCAGACGACTTTCTGCTCTGACTCAGCCACCCTCCTGGCTTCCAGTTCCTGGAGCATCGAGCCAACCAACCGGAGTCTGCGCAGCAGGAGGCCCTGTGCCCCCCGGGCCCCTCCCCTGCAGCTACACGGGCTGCAAGTCAGTGAATGCTAAGGCCACCGAGAGGCAGGACACACACCTGCCACCTTCTCCGGGAGCCGCGCCTCTGCGAGGGCGGGAACCTTCTGGCAGGTGGGAGTCACTCGGAGCCCCAGGCGGTGGAAGGCCAGGTGCCACCCAGACTCCTGCCTGTGAGTAATGGAACCCAGGCCATCCCTGACCACGGGTGCAGGGCAGGCACGGGCAGTTCCCACAGCCACCCTCCCCTCCGGCCTCTTGCTGCATCTGCACAGCATCCCTGGAGTTAGGATGAACTACTCCTAATCTCTGCTGCTTGAACATGTTTTCTGAAATATATTTCTATATAATAAAAGCCTAATATGCAATCGACCAAACAGTGGAACAACCGGGCGCTATGATGCGCACTGACCACCAGGGGGAAGGCGCTCAACGCAGGAGCTGCCCCCAGCCCGCAGGCCCCAGGCCAGCCAAGGCAGGTACCATCAGGAGCCCCCTGATCACCCCGCCAGTTGCCCCACAGATCGGCCCTGGTGCCGGCCAGGCCTAAGGACCCTACCAGTGCACAGATCTTGTGCACCGGGCCTCTAGTATTGTTATAAGGTCCCATAGCTT